GTGTATTTGAAGAAATAATTGCTGAAAACTTCCCCAAACTGGGGAAGGAAATAGTCTCTCAGACCACGGAAGCCCACAGAACTTCCAACAGAAGGGACCCAAGGAGGACAACACTAAGACACATAATAATTAAAATGGCAAAGATCAAGGACAAGGACAGAGTATTAAAGGTAGCCAGAGAGAGAAAAAAGGTCACCTACAAAGAAAAACCCATCAGGCTATCATCAGACTTCTAAACAGAAACCTTAGAGGCCAGAAGAGAATGGCATGATATATTTAATGCAAGGAAACAGAAGGGCCTTGAACCAAGGATACTGTATCCAGCACTATTATCATTTAAATACAAAGGAGGGATTAAACAATTCCCAGACAAGCAAAAGTTAAGGGAATTTGCCTCCCACAAACCACCTCTACAGGGTATTTTAGAGGGACTGCTCTAGATGGAAGCACTCCTAAGGCTAAATAGATGTCACCAGAGAAAATAAAATCACAGCAAAGAAAGCAGACCAACCAAAACTAACTAAAGACAAAAAATAAAATCAACTACTCACAAAAGCAGTCAAACGTAACACAAAAGAGCACAAAATAAACACCTAACATATAAAGAATGGAGGAGGAGGAATAAGAAGAGAGAGAAATAAAGAATCATCAGACTGTGTTTACAATAATAGCTCAATAAGCGAGTTAAGTTAGATAGACAGTAAAGAAGCTAACCATGAACCTTTGGTAACCATGAATGTAAAGCCTGCAATGGCAGTAAGTACATATCTTTCAATAATCACCCTAAATATAAATGGTCTGAATGCACAAATCAAAAGACACAGAGTAATAGAATGGATAAAAAAGCAAGACCCATATACATGCTGCTTACAAGAGACGCACCTCAAACCCAAAGACATACACAGACTAAAAGTCAAGGGATGGAAAAAGATATTTCATGCAAACAACAGGGAGAAAAAAGCAGGTGTTGCAGTACTAGTGTCAGACAAAATAGACTTCAAAACAAAGAAAGTAACAAGAGATAAAGAAGGACATTACATAATGATAAAGGGCTCAGTCCAACAAGAGGATATAACCATTATAAATATATATGCACCCAATACAGGAGCACCAACATATGTGAAACAAATACTAACAGAATTAAAGGAGGAAACAGAATGCAATGCATTCATTTGAGGAGGCTTCAACACACCACTCACTCCAAAGGACAGATCCACGACAAAAATAAGTAAGGACACAGAGGCATTGAACAACACACTAGAACAGATGGACCTAATAGACATCTACAGAACTCTACACCCAAAAGCAGCAGGATACACATTCTTCTCAAGTGCACATGGAACATTCTCCAGGATAGACCACATACTAGGCAACAAAAAGAGCCTCAGTTAATTCAAAAAGATTGAAATTCTACCAACCAACTTCTCGGACCACAAAGGGATAAAACTAGAAATAAATTATACAAAGAAATCCTTCCCAGGAGTCTCTGTCCAATTTCCAGGACTACCCCTAAATATAATCTTTCCCTGGCTATGTAAGCATCTGTACTCTTCAGAGTTCCCCTAACACTTAACTTACTCTTCATTTATTTCCAGTATATAATCATATACTGTCTTGGGTTGTTTTAAAACCATTTTTTCCTAATTACAGTAAGGCTACCATGCATACTTTGCTTGTACAAGTACTGTGCTTAAGACATTTACCCCTTAAAGCGATCCCATGAATCAGAGTCTACCATAATTCCCAATCTGAAGATGAGGAAAATGACTGAATAGTACACAAGGGCACAGCAGTACTACTTAAGTAGTGTGCACTCCAATCTAAAGCTCTCTGCAAAGATCTTGTTCTTTGCCATTGTGAAATATGACCTCTTGAAAATGCCTGTTGTCCTCAACAAGACTGTAAGCTAAGGTCAAAGAGTGTCATTTACTTCTTTCCAATACCTCATTTCACTTAGCAGAGGGTTGGGCAGGTTTTAAGAACTCTGAGGCACAGAGACTGTACCCAAAATATTTCCTACAGTCTCCATAAGATGTTCTGTTGGATCTTAATGTGTACCATATACTGTTAAAAGTCCACTAAGCACAGAAGCTTCTAGAAATGAACTTCTTCAGAGGAAGTCTATCTTTATCTGTAAATGGATTATGGTCAGAGTAGTCGGTTGGGTTCTTTTTAAGATACTAGTTCCTCTTCCATTTCATATTTTATTAATTTTACTTGTAACTCTCAAAATCTTGCTACAAAGAAATGTTACTTATTTTCTATTAATTAATAACCTTGTATATTGTTTTCATTAAGAGGAGGAGTGTTTACAAAGGAGACAAGCGAAAGGTACCTTAGGAAGCACAGTATTAAAAACAGGAGGCATGAACCCATATTACTGTGTAGCAAAACTGCAATAAGGAAACAGCAGGGCTGTGGAGGGCCTGTCTCCTCCCCACAGCCTCAAAGCAGCAGAGATATTGAAAGCAGAAGTCATTTGTAAGTAAATAAAAAAATAAAACTTACTCATTATATTCATCTATGATTACTTCCAAAGTCTTTTACTAGCTTCATAGCATTCCAGGAAAAGGAACAACGGCAGAAACACCCCTGTCCACAGTTGTGCTTACTACCAAGTAATGTACCCATTCAGGTACACACAGAGTTGACTGCAATTCTGCATTAGAATGTTGGAAAAACTGATAATTCAACCAGGCTTTCAGCACATAGCTGTGGGTCAGCCAAATCATTAACGGAGTTCCATTCCTACCTCGGGAAGCTGGGGCAGGGGGAAGGTCCATCATTCCTAATATCAACTCATTATATTCATCTATGATTACTTCCAAAGTCTTTTACTAGCTTCATAGCATTCCAGGAAAAGGAACAACGGCAGAAACACCCCTGTCCACAGTTGTGCTTACTACCAAGTAATGTACCCATTCAGGTACACACAGAGTTGACTGCAATTCTGCATTAGAATGTTGGAAAAACTGATAATTCAACCAGGCTTTCAGCACATAGCTGTGGGTCAGCCAAATCATTAACGGAGTTCCATTCCTACCTCGGGAAGCTGGGGCAGGGGGAAGGTCCATCATTCCTAATATCAGACTTCCTAAAAACCAATTCAGATGATTAACCATACAAGCTCTTCATCAAAATCAGCACTCAATCATTTTGGAAGGTAATTCTCTTCATCTCAATCCCTGTTTTACATTCCCATAAAATACAAAAGTGCACATTGTTCTACTGGCATATAATAATTTCAATGAAAAGATTTTAAAAAATCAATAATTTTCTCCACAGCATAGTTTCTTACTGGCAGCTTCATTGAATCCACCATTAATTTCACTCCCTACCCACACACTCATTAAATATAAAACACAGCTATTCTACATATATTGAGGTTTTTGGTTTTTGTTGTTTTTTTTAAAAGGACAATATAGATAAGGTAAAATTTAGTCAAATACTCCCTTTCTGACTTATACTTTCTGTTGGAGCTTTCTGAAATGATGAATACACTAAACATTCTGGAACATGGCTGTCCCATCATGTATGAATAAACTTTTCAGCAGCAATGCTTACAAAAAAGAAGACTGCCAAATTACTATATATATAAAAATATATATAGGACTATGGACAAAGACAATAACAGGAGGGGTTAAAGTGGTGTAAGCTTAAGAGAGCAAAGTAAACATATCCTTTGGTGAAAACAGTGGTACAAAACCAGCCGGATGTTTAAATTGTTAATAATGGTCCTAGAGCGAATTCAACTTTTCCATAGGTGTAAACCACAAACAAACTCACACCGTATGTTTCTCTTCACACATCTCCACAATCACTGTAAGGTGGATGAGCAGTGGTTAGAGTATCCGTCAAGGGCTATAACACAGCTAATGCTGTCAAAATGGTATGTTTATAAGCCTGTGGAGCATAACCTCATTATCCAAAAACTTCTATCCATTGTCCTCCTTTAAAAGTTAAAACATAATAAACAAAAGTACATCTCTTCCACCCTTCTGCTCTCTGTATTCCCAAATCAGTCTACCTTGGTGCTTTGTACGCTTACCAAAGCATTCCACAAATAATGGCTGTAGTGCACATGCATTAAAGTTTGGAGAGTTTCTGCCTTTGAAGGAGATAGCGAACAGGACTAAGGACACACGGGTTCAATTCCAAGACAAATATTAGGCGGGTGGTTTGAAAATACCAATTCAAAGAGGCCTAGGGAGAAAGGATACCGGCGTCCAGGGCCACCACCCTTCCTCTCCCCTCCCCTTTCCCTCTCTTGCTCTCTTCCTCTCTTCTCTTCTTTCCTTGTGGTCTTACAGAGACAAAGCAGGGAACGCTGGGTTTTAAATTAGTGAGACACACTGGGAATATGTAATTCCCAGGAGGAAAAAAGAAACTGCTAAAGGTGTGTGTGTGTGTGTGTGTGTGTGTGTGTGTGTGTGTGTGTGTGTGTGTGATGGGGGGGCTGTTGTTCCAACATGTGTAAGTGACAGCCCGCCCCACCCCCACCCTAACACCGCACAAATCCATGGACTCTCCCTCAAACCGCGTCTCTTAGCAGTTTCCAGTACTCTTTCTAACTTGACCCTTAATTCAAATAATTTAGGGACCTGCAGGGCATCCACTGTGCAAGAGTGTGTGTCTCAGTATATGTACCCAATTTTGTAGAAGACCCTGAATCCGGACAGTTGTACCAGGCAAGGGATCTCCCACCAGGGAGAGGGGTGAAGAGGAAAGGGAGGCAGGGCTGCGCTCTCGAGCGAGGGGCTGAAAGGCAGACAGGGAAGAAAGAAAGGGTGGGAAGGAAGTGGGGCTGGGAGAGAGGAAGAAAGGGATGAAAGAAAGGCTGGAAGGGAGAAAGGAGGGGTGAGGAGAGAGGGATGTTGGGAAGGATGAGGGCGGGAGGGCTGGGGAGCGGGAGGGAGGGGAGAATGGAGAGGATGGGAGGGAAGCAGGCGGGGAGGGAGGGAGGCAGGCTCGGACTGAGGATGCTCTTGCCCGGGACTCACCTCTGCGGGTCGGTGGGAGTTTCTCGCCGCCTCCTCTTTCTTGCCTGTTCCCAGCAGCTGCGGGGTGATCCGAAGGGGCCGGAGAGGCGGCGGCGGGGACGAGGGCGGCAGCTGCTGCAGCCGCCTATGGCCGAGGTGCGGTATCTCCCGCTCCGCCCGCCAGCCCGGGTCTCCGCCTCACTCGCGGCTGGAAGCGAAGCCGCTCCCCCCCGCCCCCCGCCCCCCGCCCGCCCCGCGTCCTGCCCAGGCGCGAGCGGCAGCGGCCCGGATCGCCGCTAGGGGAGGCGGCCAGTGCGCAAGCGCGGCCGCCTGCTGGCTCGCTTGCGCGTGCCCGAGGCTCGGCAGGGTGAGAGGCTGCTCGAGGTCGGGGTTGCGGGCGCGCGCGGCCTGGGAGCGCCCAGCGGGCGGCGCGGGGCGGAGCCGGGGAGGAGAGGCCGGCTCTGCTGCAGGTGGGGGGAGGGGACGGCGATGGAGGGGCGCCGCCGGAGGGCGCAGGTGCTGTGTCCATGGCAACCGCGTTACCCTCCGGGCGGGGGACCCGGGCTGAGTCGCCAGGAGCTGGGTGCACCGGGGACCGAGACCCGGCGGGGAGAAGTCCTGCGGGGAGAAGGGGACGCGGGGGCCGAGTAGGTAGAAAGGGTGAGCCCGAGAGGGCGCGGACACGTGGCAGAAGGAGGGCAGGGCCCCAGCGCATCGCAGGCAGAGACGCACGCGGGAGGGAGGTTTGTAGGACCTGGAGTCCCACAGGAGGACTGGACCTTAAGAGGACCAGAAGAAGACGTTAGTGTTAAAACAAATAGATCACTTGGTCATTTAGCAAGGCTTTGTTGAGTGCTGTGTCTGTGGAAGTCATTGTGCTTTTATTGATTCAAAAACTACAGTGATCCCTTAATTTGCACCAGGCACTCTACTTAGACATTTTGAGACACGTTTAATATCAGGGGTTTGTCCTCTCAGAGCTTATACTTTAGTTGGGGCACTTACACAGAGACTGCAGGGAATATATGCCCTTCCCACCACCATCAACTGGGGCTAGAACCTACTGCTACACAAGTGCTAGAAGCCAAGCAGGTGCAGAGCTACACTAAACGCGAAACATAAGTTACACTTATCTTTGTTCTGCTACAGTGCCAAATGACTTTTTTTTTTAATCTCAGAAAAATAAAGACAAAGGAACCCTATGGCAGTTTGGTACGATACAAGCGATGCTGCATTCACTGCATGCTCCCCGTCTGGTCTCCTTGTCCACCAGCACCACCGATGCGTTTGTTCGTGCCGACACTTGTACGGCTTTATGTCACTCGGTGCATGTAGTTTATACTCCTTCATTGGCAATGTCAGCGATGTTACACCACTTTCATTCTCAAGCTAGCATCCGCAGTTGTTTGAAAATTATGCCAAACCCAAGTGTCTTATTCTCTCCAGGCAATAACTTGAGAGCTCTACCTCTATCCATTCCTTTATCTTTCTTTCTCAATATCTTCTTGCCTTACCTTTTCTTGTCACCAACCCTTTACCAATTTAAAAATTCCTGTGAGAAAGTGGACGGGGGTCACCAGATAGAGGTTTAAGAAAAACCTCATTAGCCAACATTTCAGTACCACGGACAGTGGCACCGAATGCTCCTCCCACCAAGATTTTTCCTTAGGCTCAGCCTATAGAAACAGGAGACGCTAAAGCTACAGGAAATGCTTCAAGAAGTAAATGCAGAACGCCACATGATTTGTTCAAAAAGATCTGAATAAAGTGGAAAAGGAAAGAGCATACCGTGGACTGGAATAGATGGGAAGGAAGTGGGCCCTTTACCAAGACTTAAAAGAATGTGTTAAGATTTAGGGAGGCATCACAGGGCTTTAAAATGGTAAGAGGGGGATAATTTAGTCAGGGGGCTTAATAAAAGTTGGGATCCTCCGTACACAATATTTTCCTGGAGGCAGAAGACACCTCTGATTTCAAATGGTCCACGACTGTGGAAAGAGTAAGGTAGTTCCAGTTAATGAAGTCAAATACTCTTTCAAGGACTGACATTTTTGTTATTTCTGTGATTTTTCATTCTTTAGTTAGGCTAGAGGGAATAAGCTAAAAAATACTGGCCAAAGAATTATCAGACAAGTTCACATATTTGAGAGGATTCATTTATAACTTTGTGCATTGTTTTAAATCAGGTTTAAATTTATGTCTCTCTGTTTTAATTGGCAGCTGACAGGGGAAAAAAAAGGAAAAACAAAAACAACCTCATATAGACCAAGCACCGTCTTGTCAAAATGAGACTTCCTTGTTTTGTTTTATAGTGACTTTCAAAACTATTAGATATTACGGAGAGACTTTTAAAAGTCATTTGTAAAATATATGTAAGATTTTTGTCAATGCAATTGCTAGAGAGTTACTAAAAAAAATAGCATAAAAATTATCCTTTATTTCTCAGGGACCCTTGGTGCCCCTCACTCTTCCTTCAAAATGTACCAATCTGTTGTCTGTCAATCAGACAGAAATCAAAAATTACTCAGGCAATGCACTTATATCACTAGCATGCATAAGGCAGCTAAGATTTTTGTTCTTTACATCCACAGAACTCACTAACTTTTATGTTTCAGATGAAGGGGAACCTCCACCCCTACTCACACTATGGAAGCATTCAAATTGAGTATTATTTTAGCCATATTTACTTCTCTCTGACAACAGTCTAAACATCTTTGCACAAATAATGGCTATCACTGGATATTTAAAAGCTATCACTTTATTTGCCTGCATCCAAAACCAAGAGATTTTTTTTTTTATTTTATATCTTTGATTTGACACTGTGAATCTGGCTAGTTTCAGTTTTGTTGATTTAAGTGTTGTCCTTTATTCAATGACATAAACATACACAGCCCTCAGAAAAACAAGCAGTTTTTCTCAATCTTCTGCACATATTTATGCCAAAATAAATAACAAACAAAAAGCACTGTTAAAAGTACAGTTTTTATTATTGTATGCAAATAAAAAAGTATTGTATATAATTAAAATGAGTTTGCATTACAAAAATATGACATCTAGATATTTAGCATAGACTCCAAACCAACACTGGTAATCCTAAGTAAAATTATCTGTATGGCTAGGAAAAATTAATATTGTCAAAATAGCCATCCTACCTAAAGCAATCTACAGATTCAATGCAATCCCTATCAAAATACCAACAGCATTCTTCAATGAACTGGAACAAATAGTTCTAAAATTCATATTGAACTATAGAAAACCCCAAATAGCCAAAGCAATCCTGAAAAGGAGGAATAATACAGGTGGGATCTCACTTCCCAACTTCAAACTGTACTACAAAGCTACAGTAATCAAGACAATTTGGTACTAGCACAAGAATAGACCCACAGACCAGTGGAACAGAAAAGAGAGTCCAGATATTAACCCAAACAGATACGGTCAATTAATATACGATAAAGGAGCCATGGATATACAATGGGGAAATGACAGCCTTTTCAACAGCTGGTGTTGCCAAAACTGGACAGCTACATGTAAGAGAATGAGACCGGATCATTTGTCTAACCCCATACACAAAAGTAAATTCAAAATGGATCAAAGACATGAATGTAAGTCCTAAAACCATAAAACTCTTAGAAAAAAACATAGACAAAATCTCTTGGACATAAACATGAGCACCTTCTTCATGAAC